ACAGTAACTAAAGTATTTGTGTATTTACTTTCAATAAAGGTGATAAATCTCAACCACCTTGTACCGAGTTTAGAATTGGTATGAAATATGCAGTTTGTAAGCAGCAGGGAGTCTAGTGTCACTGGAATGTCAGAATTGGGGTTTTATAAGAAAGCAAAACGGAATGCTTAGCCAAATGTAAAATGGGGTCAAATTTAACCACAAAAGAAAATGGTTAGCTTTAGATGAGTGGTAATCATGAATTGTTGAAGAGACCATCCTAATATTCTCATTCTCACTCTGTCAGAATCTGTCTGTTTTTGGCAGCTTTTCTTCCCTTTGTTACTTGTGTGAATACTTTATAAGCATATTGGCTTCCACTTCTTGCAGTTTTATGCTATTTCCACAATTCCTATATCAAAATGTTCAGCTTCTTCAGGATATTCCTGTTATGAATTTTTGTATATTCGTGCAGTTTTTACATTTTGAAATATTAAGCTTTTTCAGCCATTGTTTTCTCAGTGAAAATGAATAGTTTCCTTTAAAATCCACCAAAACCCTTTGCTGTTTACAACTTTTTACTGCTCACTTTGCCTGTTCTGTTGTTCTTTTTTTCAGCTTGTTCGTGCAAATTTCAGCTTTCAGTTTTTCTGTGTATTTGACATTTTGTTTCACTTTAAAATTATTGTTTTCAGACCAAACGGTATATGTGCTGCTTGAGAATGTTGCATGCAAGGTGCATGTTGCGTTTGGTGAAAATGCGCACAGAAAAGAAGGGGCAAAAATTTATATGTTTTATTTTAATCTGGCAACCATGACCCTGGGTTCCCCTGCATGATGTTGGTTTAGCTAAATGCTGCAAAAGGGTGAGCAGAACAAAGAAAAAAAACACCATCTGCAATTTATTGTAAATGTTAGTTCAAAGAAAACTTTTGCCTGTGTGCGCATGCGCGCTTTTACACCTGAGGAGTACTTCACACCTCCATAGGGGGTTTCAAAAAGTGCTGCTGTCAGAGACTCTGATCAGTGGTGATGTGTAAACAAGTGGCTGACTTGCAACAAAAATGTTACGGTTTCACTGAACATCATCTCATATAAACAGTGTCTTATGCCTGGTTCACATGGTAAGATTTTTAAAGTGTCTGCTGATTTTCAAAGACTGAGAGATAAAACATGGCAATAAAAAATCATATATATTACTGGTTTGGTTCTACAGTGTGTGGTGTACAGACACACACAGTAATGTGCGGTGAGGTTCATGGATGGTGAGGCACTCAATTCATCAGAATCAAATTTATAAATATATGAACCTACAGAACAACTTCTTCACCATATGACTGGCAGAAGTGAATGAGTTATGTTTCATATATCATATCAGTGTTCTTTATGCAAACTGCAGCTCACATGATGCACATTTCATTAAAACAATGTTATTATATCCTACCTTTTAAATATAAATGAAGTCCAAACGCCGCTCACAATATCCCATCTGAGTCCAGAAACTGTCACAAGTTGAAAAAAGGCAGGGGAAAAATGTTTCTCTCAGGACATCCACACAGCCATGCTTTTAGTTTCAAAAGAGCTTTTGTGTCAGCTGTAGTGTGGCTCTTATTTACCTGCTGCTTCCCAGTCCAGTCTAGAAAATAGTTTGAGCTTTAAAATATTTAATCCTCCATTGTAAAAGTC